GTCAACCAAATTTGGGCTAAAATACGGACAGATCGTGTGAAAATTAACAAATCTGCGCTTTTCGATTTACTACCAACCTTTGTAGAGGATTTGGTTTAAGCGATAAACAGAATGGTAGAACAGCCAATGTACTGTTCACTATCGCCATTGTTATTTTAATTAAACTGATAGTGTCGTGCCGACGGTCACGGGAGAACGGATAACTTTCCTTTCAACAGAGGTGTGGTTACTCCTACTCGCCAAGTTAAATATAACGACAGTTAATAGTCGATCGATAGACGCTAATCACGTTGTTCCTCGAGTATATTCGTCGATGGAATCAGTTTCGACAGTCTATTGTTCGTATAATTCTCAACGCAATTGCTAATTTATCGTAATTGCCACGAGAGTAATCACGGGACAAGAGACGAATACTCCTAACCGGTTAACGGTTTCTCGGCTATATTGTAATTTACCAACGAATTAATGTATTTCAGAGTATAAAAAACTACTTGTTTATTATTAGAATAAATATTAATTGATCCCATTGGAAAGTCGCACTTCCTATATATCTTTTGAGGAGCATTTGAGTTGTTGTTCCCACAGTACGGAAATCACTGGAAGACCGGAACACACTGGTACTGTGCCAAAAGACTTTTTGCCCGGGGTGGTTTTCCATAAGAAGAAAGACAAGCCTCCAGCATTAATGGATGGCAAGTTTATGTTAGAATTCTTGAAAACCACCTTGGTGGTATTACTAAAATGCTTGGGAAGAAGTGACGTATAAGGCGTTAGAACTTGTGGACATCACACCAAAACAATTGAAGGCATGGTTAAAACTGATATTGGTGGTTAGTATTGAAGCGTGCAGATATCATTGTCTCTATAATTCTGTTTCTTGGTCATCCAACGGTCGTACTAGCGTGCATAGTACTGATTCTTTCAACGGAGGTGTGGCTATCCTACTCGCTAAGTTAAGTATAATGGCAGTTAGTGACCTACGTAGACATTACCTATTTACGACTCTATAATAGCCGATCGATAGACGCCACTCCGAACAAGTCTACTATTATCCACCGATGGTATTAGTTTCGCCGTGGCCTATAGTTCTGGGGTGTTCATATAATTCTCAATGCATTGCTAAATGAACGAGTAATTGCCACGAGAATATAAGCGTGACAAGAGGCAGATATAGGGATTAACGATTTCTCAGCTATACCGTAATTTACGAGAGAACGAATCATTAATAATGTATTCCAGAGTATAAAGAACTACTCGTTTATTATAAGAAAGTGAACATGATGCGAACATGTGATGTAAACATCTTTCGAACATGATTAATTCTATCGGAAAGTCGCGCTTCGATATATTTTTTGAGGTGCCAGTTTCTTCTAAATCTAGCTACGTGTACTAGATGCCTATCTCACCCAGATAATTGTACGACTACTGACTATTATTATTATTATTATTATTAGTAGTAGTAGTAGTAGTAAATTTTCTCTACACTTTATCGTATATGGCTTTCCCTCTGTAAATTGAGCTAGTTCTATATGCGTTTTGAAACTACTATGGTTTTTCGTTTCTTACTCTTGTTATTGTTATTTAAAATAGAGTTGAGAACATTCTGAGAGGCCTCCGCCATTCGGAATATTAATTTGGTAAACCAATGGTCTGTAATATAAATTTAATCCACTCGTATTAGTAATTAACAATGAGATTTCCGCATTACTATTACTAATCAATCAGGTGATAGCTCTTTTTAGATAATATATGGGTAGTCCATGTGTCATAAACAATGAATCGATGCGACAAAATTGCGGCCTGCTATGTGGAGAGCTGATAAACTCTCAACCTTATAAAGATGGCAGATGTCGGTTCATCATGTGTTTCTTGACCATGATAATCACAATACGCTTCAACTGTTATCAGCATCTCTCAGATCGATCGTAACAGTAATCTAGCATCGTCTAAGTAACAGAGGCGCCTTGACCAATTAGTGTCAACTTACTGATGACACAATCCGTAGATCTTCGGTCAACAGACCCTGTGTGAGAAACTAAATGACATTTTGGCAAAAAGGTTCATATCCAACACATTATATAATAACATTTCTTCCGGTTGCCAGTTATAACACTTTACTGCCTCATTATCGACAACAACATGGTTTTGAAATTCGGTTATGCTGTTGGTGAGTTTCGAAATCTTCGTTACCATCATTTATTGTCACAAACATTCGTTACAATGGTGTTTTAATTTAAAACTCTAGATGAACAATTGGGTAGTCTGTCTACAACCAATGCTCGCATAGTCACTCCCATGAAAGTTCCGGAGAGGATAACTTTGTCTGTTGTTAATAGCTCGAGATTCGTTGTTATGGGAACGAAACCAGGTATTCACATTGGCATTATGCTGTGATATTCATCGTTGACGGAATAGCATTTTGAATATATCACTAACAAGCGCTAACCTGTGCTTTCTTAACCCACCCACCATTACTTTCATTATTTCTGACGCAAAATCGTATGCTTCCATGTAAACTGATCAATCATAAGAAATACTCGAATGGATACGAAGTTACCCAAGAACGGTCGTTGATGTGATTCTATACGAAGATCAATCAATCGCACCACATATTCATGTTCCCGATGTAGTGCTTGACTTGATCCTTCCCAGTTCTCCCGAAGTTCAAGCTCGTTACTCTTGGATGGATTATATTAATCCTCTTCATCACCCCGACCCCACCGAAATACCAATACGCCTAGAATTCCGTCCAGTGCAAGAAAAAGTGGATAAAACAATGGAACCTCTATTACGTTTGGTTGTCAAGCGTGAATCCAAGTTTTGCGATATTGTGGATAATTTACAGAATAGATGGGATAAAATATCATACCCAAGCACGTGGGATGGGGTGAAGAAGGTTGCTGGATTACCAAGCGCAGTTATGCACGAAGAAGAAGAAGAGGCTGAGGTACAGGAAGCAAATGCAACTGTAGGCGTTAATGCAAAAAGTAATGTGAACGATGATGTTCATCTGGAAAATGTCGTGGTTGACGATAATCAACAAACAAAAGCTGTCGTTAGGGAATATTCTTAGTCAAACGTAAATAACATGTACAAGCTATGCGCTACCCAATATATATATAATCTCGAATATGAAGCATTTTCAAATAATTTGGATTCTTCCTTGCAATATTTTTAGAGCTAGAAGCGATCACCCAACCAACGACATATTATAGCTAATAATCGGGGTCTCTACTAATGTTTCACTACAAGGCCACGTTTTAGAAATTTTACATTTACACGCATACAAATTGCTCGTGTCTTTACCTTGAAGGAATTTCCGGCCTGTCTTACAGTTTTTTCCTAAACTGTTTCATAAGATACTTTCATACCAATTATTCAACAACAATATCTGACCTCCTGTTTTTCATAACCTTACACAAAACTTGTCTTTGTCTTCTGGATTTCTGTTATTAAAAGGACGAACTATTAAGGAAAATCCAAGAGTGGAATTTCTGCAAAGAAGGAATACCTCCAACCTTTAGATGAATTCTATTCAGGGAAACCCGAAAACTCAAAACTCTTCCGAAATGACTTTTTCATTAGGCGTTGAAATGTGCCATACAATTTACGTGCTACAAACAATCGTGAGACATGTGAGAAGGGCAAATATAATTATAGAAACAAAGGCAGCAGTTTTGTGTACATCATAGAATTAAAGCATCTACTTATATTAACTTTCAGTGTTTGGCAACGGCTATTTAAATACTTTCTGCGTATCCCACACCAGTTATCGCAAATTACATAATGGCGACTGCTGAGAAATCACGTCGTTCAAAACCAAAGCGGGTAAGCCGATCGCTGACATTCTGCTGCTGAAGCGAAAATTATTCACCAAGCTTTTTACCATATAATCAGAGGTCCATGCCGACAATAATAGGTCGTCTTACAAATCCATTCGAAAGAGTTACCGACATGGAACCGCCAACTTTACCATCGCTTGAAACTCAGCCCCATATTCTTGACTTGATGTTGAATGAAGAGTTCAGCAGTTCAGATTTAGGACTAGAAGACCGGGAAGAATCTACTGCATCAGAAGTCAATGCCTCGACTTCCATTGCAGTTGACCAGAATTCACAGAGGTCAGCAGACATTGACGAGAAAGATATAAATAATGTATTACTATCACAGGTATAGTTCAATGCAGCAGCGGTCATATGAATTATAGCGTTAATCGCCAGTCGCATATGTGAATGCCTACTGTACACTCATGATTCTCTCTCGTCTTTTATTAGGATGTGATTGAATCGCTGGAAGTGGTCAAGAAAGTTGCCCTCTTTGCATTAGACGGTATAGTGCGTCAAATTGCGGAAGATAATCTAGAAAATTCATTAAACACTTCCAGTTCTGCAAGAGCCGGTCCTAAGAAGAAGAGATCTTTCAGTCATTCTATTGCAGAAACAAGTGCTAGACTTGCTGAATTACGACGCGGAAGAGAAGAGTGGCATAAATCACAAATACTAGAAGATATCGCTAGAAACGCGACAATGCTTGGCAGTAAGAGTGAAATGCAACAGATTGAACCTATACAGACATCTTCAACAGACGTAGCTACTATGCATAGAATTCAGCATCAGCTAAAACTTAATACTCCTGTTGTGCCGAGCGATGATTATAGTTTAGCATGCTCCTTGGCTGCTCTTTTAGGGTATTTATATCGCATGCAGGAACTGTGCGAGGCGGATATTCCCCAGTCAGAAAGAAACAATAATCAAAGAGTTGAGAGCACACGTGCCGACGAAATGATGCGAACTACGAACAATGACAATATCTACACCACACTAAGGAAAGAAGTAACTAATTTGCAGACTCATCGACAAAATTTGGCTTTAAAGTCGCAGGAACACAATGTCCCAGCGGAAAGGTTGGATACTTGGAATGAGATTGATCGGTTGATGGATTTAATCGCGAGATTGTGCCGTGAGCGGTCAATAAATGAACCACCACCACGGTATTCCGTAGCTATCGATGAGAAAGATAGGGCATTCTATATTGAACCCCCTAAATATAGCTCGTTATACGATGAGAAGATTAATAGAAAAGTGGACAATGAGAAAACTAGACACGATCTTGACAATGTGATCTCTGCTATAGAACGTGTTTATAACGTTGCACCGCAATTAAACAATCAGCGAGTAGAACTCAGCCATAGACAAACAAAAGAATTAACAGCAGCAACTCTGTCAACTGCCATCCAGCGGTTATCACGTGGGCGGTATGAAGAGCAACGCGCTTGTTTTAATACTGTTAAGAAATATCAAACTTTGAATAGACTCGTCGAGCAAATTAGCAAATCAGCTTCTAGGAGTTTTGTAGATCAGCGTGTTGAACTCAGTCCTCGTCAGCTTCGACATCTAGAGGCAGCAAGGCTCAACTGTGTGATAGACCGCTTGGGCAGAAATAGAATGACAAATCAGGTAATAATATCATTATTGTATAGATTAAAGTCTGGATCTATGGGCTTAATTATTAATTTGGATATCGATTTATTCATAGGATTGGCATCCACCAGAACAATTACTAGTTCAAGACTTGACAAGGATAACCAACGAATTAACGGAAACGTCACATAATTCTGCATACGCTGCTCAACGCTTTCATTTGACATCTGCCAAAGAGCGTGACATGTTCATGAACAGCGTAATTAAAAAGGTGGAAAAGATGGGATCATATAGGCTTAATAATCAAGATGCTGACCACCCTGCACAGCGACGAGAACGTGCTTTACAGGAGATTGATCAGATAGTGCGTAAGATGTCGTATTCTCCTGCCATGGATAGTCAACGCGCTATAAAGACAAAGTTTGTCGATTCGCTGTAATAGAACAATTATAGAATCATCCATTCATATCCATGTAATTTAGTACGATTTGAACAGTGCATCTTAACCATTTGACATATGTGTATTGAATATAGAATTAACATTTTACTTGCATTATTATCATCGATGCGCTGTGTAATGAATCGAGGCATTCAAAATAGTTAAACAAACCCCTAATATTAATTATATCACATTAGTGCGACCAAAATAAAAGAAATTTAATACGGGGCATGCTACAGAGGAAATTGAAAACATAAGGATGAAGTGAGTAGTTTATGCGTCAAATTATCCAAGGAAAATAATTAACAACGAATCATTATTGCAATAGATACGTTGGTCAATTATACTCGGGCATTGAATTGATAAGGGAGATTGTTGCAAGCTGGATTTGCAACGAGCGTTTAAATTTATTTGATGAAAGAAAAGTCTTGGTAACTATGTAACAACAGAAGCGCCCCTTATCGTTAGCAATATTCTCGGTGTTTTGGGTTCGACAATATGTATGACCCCTAGATTGTGTTATTGATCTCAACTAACTATCCAACCACGCGCTTTGATGTCAGTTCTTAATACTAGCCTCTCAAGAAAAACTGTCTAGGTACCGAGCCTTGTAATTTTAGCTTTTGAGCGAGTTGGACAGTAGTAATTGCCTCTCTCTCGGACATGAAAGACTTCATCAGTCACGTTGGGATGTTTTTGTACAATCCAACACCCCGACTGTATCATCAGAAAACATTACCGGTAAATAAATTTTAAAGTTAAAGACCTTAAATGCTAGAAATGGTTTGATATGTTGACTTGTGATTACTACCCATGGAAATAACAAAGATGTCCAATATTAAGAAATTAAGAAAATTCCCTTTACTAACAGCTTGTGAGATAAAACCATGCCATCTAAAGGTAAGGCAAAAAGTAGCGACCTCTGATAGTTTTAAAAGATAGGCCTACAATAATAGTTGCCATTCTAATAATATAATATTCGCAGGTTGCGCGACCTGGTTAAAATCTTACCATGACAGCATGTAGCACATTCATTATAGAATTTTTAATTTCAGTATTATTAGTAATAGTAATAGGCCAAACATAAGTACGAATCAAAACTTTAATCACATGATGGCGCTGATCGTGTGGCCGTGTGTTCCACTTCTAAAATCAAGAACACAACACTCGAACGATAGTTTTTGATTTATGACTAATAATAAACACGTATTTCTGGACTGCTAATAAATCTTACTCCTTCGGGACAAAAAAGAACCTCGCAAGAGAAAGCAATCCATCGATGACACACGAAGTTGTTACAGTGACACAGAATACGAGTGGCAAGAGGGCGAGTATTGTGAAGAAGTCCCGAAACCAACAGCGACAGTGACTACATCACAGACAGTCAAACTGAGACAGAAACCACAGTCTCAATCACCTCCCTCCTTGAATAATACCATAGACCAAGAAATACGAAGCCGAGCGGTACGAAGAAAGTACCCGAATATCGCCCTAATTCCCCAAGTTACAATGGACCCTCCGGCTACCAAATCACCGGAAATTATGATGTTAGCATTAGTATTAGACTCTTTAACAAACGTCAGACCCGTGGTGGTCCGCATATTGAGGTGGATAAATTAGATATGCGGCTTCTCATTAGTCACCGAACATTTCACGGGACTTGCAATAAAATGCCTGTGTAACGTCGAACCATTCCAATTACATGCCCACGCAACTAACAACTAGCTTTTCACCTCATAAAGAAAAACGTACTGCTGGTTCTGGATTATTATTAAATTGTCACGGCTGATGCTGAAACCATGACCTTTCATTGGTTAGTTTCAGTTTCAGCTGGTCAGTTGTTAATGTAAAATCCGTGATGAGGGACTTATTAGCCACCCAAGGGATTAAGTTCCGTAGGTCATGAGTTTGAGCATACTGAGATTCGGAAAAATGAGAAAAAATAGATATTAATATCTATATCGTCTCAGTTTGTGATGACGACTGTATTCCGTGGTGAACAGTTCTGAGGCCACCCAAGGGATTAAGTTCCGTAGCATGAGCTTGAGCGCGGCGTACCGAGACAGACTAACCACCCTGTTGTCGTTGTTACGGCCTTGAGGACGAGCCACCCTATCTAGATTACCCAATGATCGTTTCTTAACGTGATGGGAGGGCATAGGGGGTGGATGGTATAAAGATGTGAATCACTTGATACTTGGCCTCCACGTGGCGTGATTCGGGCAACGTTATGAAACGACCAAGTCGTTAATAGCGGCTAACAAGTATCCATTCGCTCAGTAAATACATACTCTTAAGGTACGTTAATAAGATTGTACTTACATATTAATAATATTATTGGAATGATGTCTAACGCGTCTACTCATACATATAGCCTTCAAAGCGTAAATAAAAAAAATACAATGCCACTTAAATACGCAACGAGCAACCGTTTGTCACGAACAAGTCCTGTAACGACACGGTTTATTAACCACATAACCGATGCCGCCATTCCATATTCCGCAGGACGACAGTTTGCTACAACTCACTCACAAGTCCTCAAGCAACGACACAAAAGAACATTTCGCGTACATTAACTGTTGTATGTCAATTCCGAATTATGTCACTTCCGAACTGACATATGTCAGATCAGAATTATAGCATGATTTATGAATCTAGCTGGCATTTTATTGAAAATTGTTATTAATTTATTATTTTGATATGTGAATAGCCAAAACTAATATAAGTTCAACTAGTTACAAGATTAATAAAGTAGAGGACTTAGAGTGTAGTCTAGAGCTGGGAGCGGAAGAGCCGAAGAGTAAACTGCTGGCACAGTTTGAGAACGGCTTAACCGCTATTAAAGAGGGGAACAGCGATTGATCAAGTGATTTCTGCAGTACTGAGATAGAGTAGTTCAGGATGATGGTCATTTCGCAGCTCTACCGAAATCTAAGTCCGAAACATTTATATGATTAATGTAATCGATTTACGGATTTATCACTGGAGTAGTATAGAATGATGTTATTATTATAATCATGTATCAAACCTATGTATATACAATAAGAAATAAAGAATTATTATGAATAAATTCTCGTCTTCCTGTAAAGTGAACAATTGTATGTATGCCACGTCACATAATTTCGTTAGTTATAAAAAACTCAAGCCCGAGTCCACTCTGTCATCTGACATACATTTGCATTAATTTACTGATATTCTTCCTATAAACCGCTTGATATTTAGCCTCACTAGTTCATCGTTCTTACCATATTTGGTAATTACTAACGTTTAAAAATAAATTCACTGTCTAGCTCTAAAAACTTAAAAAATTTCCAATTTAGTTAGTATATTATCAAACACGTTCTATTCTAAATAAGTTTAAAACCCCAACATTGCCAAATTACTGTACTTGTATCTTTTTGTAGTCCCGGCAATACAGTAGTTCGAGTAAAATATTGGTGTGAGTATTGGTGAACGCCAGTTTTTTAACGATAAATAGAATGTAATAATAGTACAGTAGTAACAAATAAAGTTGTACAATATTTTTGTGTAAATTTTAACCCAATGACATACATGCACATTTCCAACTATCAGCTGATGTTTACCTTGTTAAAAAATTTTTTCCACGAGACACCTTTCCGAACTCGTATTTTCTTTTCCAATTTCATTCCTTCGCTGGCAGATTGGAAATACGCAAACCATGAATCGAAATTAAGGACAAGTATACGTTTACCGTTTACGACTACAACGCATTACTCAGCGACACGCTCTTGGGCTTGTACAGTCTAGAATTGAAAGACTTTGTCAAGCATTGCACGGATGGCCATGTCGAAGGCAAGCGCGTTGACAAATACGTGGACCTCAGATACAAGGGACCTAAGAAAGGACAATTGCACGTTATCAGTGTGACTTTTATTCATTCACCGACTTTGACGTGGACGATGGAACTAAAATTGAAATCAGCATCACAAATATTCGTCACTTGTTCCTTCTCATCACACTTCAGCTTCTTTCGTACTTAACAAGCGCTTGGCAACTTTATATCCAGGCTGAACTTATCTCTGCACTTACAGCTCGACCACTGCAGTCCTTGTGACTTCATTCTTGAGAATCCTATTATGGAAACATAGTAATGAGTGGATTGGAAGCTGTGCAAAGACGGAAGAATGGCTCAATGTAAATATCAATGGTGTAGACATCGAAGAACGTCTATATATTGCTCTAATCGCTTCGTGATCGAACACTTTAAATTCGATCAGTGGGAAAGCGAGGAACACAAACAAACGTATGGTTGTCACTACGACTCAACAGACAATTATCACTCGACGTACCGTCACCGTCTCCCGCATCGTGTCATATCAAATTGATTTTGGAAAGCTATTACGGAAAGTTCGAAACGATGGATTAGCCGTACGCAACTTCATCTTGCAGAGATTCAACATCAATTTATCTGACAAGCAAAACCGCTTTCAAAGTACCACGGCGTTTACGGAACGAAAGTTCTTCAAATCTGATCATGTTAAAAAGGTGCACGTGGATGTCTGGGTTACGGCAGTCACTCTGTGGTATATGAGACTGGTCATCGGGCGGATTGGACTGAACGATACAACTAGTCTTATGTTTGGCTAAAGACACAAATTAACCAAGATGCTCAGCTTGAAAAGAATCTGCGAAGAAATGGGTATTTAGAGATACCAAGTTGACAAAGAGGTTCTAGTCGCTGACGACAGTTTTGTAAAGGAACAAGAGAATAAAACCAAGCGTACTGAAGAAAGAAGATAAAAGAAGGTACATTCCTTTGAAATTTAAGGGATACTGATTTTTTTATATTGACAAAATATCCTGATTTTTTAAAATTGTTATTTTGACACCCAACAGGCACTGTAATCTTATTACTCTCAGCTATGTCAAGAAATATATTTCGTTCCAGAAACACGATGGGCAGTTCACCTTGGACGCCGAATTTGTTAGACTACTCGGCTTTGAATCTTCCAAAGACTTTGAACAAGCAATTAACGTCTACATCAAATCGAAACGCGTATCTAAATTGGACATCCACGTTATTTACACTGCCGTTTCTTTCTGGTATTTGTGCTTGGTTGCTGAAGAGTTTATCCTGTCGTTCCAATCCAGCACTTCTGATGAACGACTTAAAAAACTCGACAAGTCTCATCGTTTCGGTCTTTATCACATCATTCCTCAGGGCTCTCTTATTGAAGCACAAAAGTGGATGGATATCATCGTACACAAAAACGGGAAACATGGATTAGTGAATCAATTAATGATGTACACAGAAGTGAATCGCTACGTTATCAAACATTAC